TAAGATATGTGAGCAAGGAATCTTATAAATATTCAACTTCTGACATGTGCAATGGCGACGGTGCAAATTTACTTTTTGTTTTGTACCACCCTTCCCCACAGCTCAACCACCACGACCAGTCTCTGTTTGGTATAAACCACGGCCTATTTTTTTCAATCAGTTCAGTCACTTGCTGGCAGTAGCGATGCCCTTCTACTAACCTTCTCTTACTAGTTTCTCTTCTTTCCACAAAATAGGCATTCACACGATAGAATGATAACTCAACTAAGGCGGTTATAGGCAGGTATCATGTACTTTTCATGACGCTATTGAATACTTCAGCCATGTTCGTTGCTGTGGTGCCATACCTGTACCCCCCGTCGTGGTGTAAAGACCACTTCTCCAAACCAATGTTCGCTAGATATTCTCGTGCTCCTACCTGCATTTCGCCAATCCTGTTAAATCCACCATCAAATTTCTTCTTTTGATGTTGACTTGCTGTCCAAACGAACATATTTTTCAAGTGAACGTCTTTAAATTGATTATGCAGATTAGAAGCGACATGCCGTATGCAAAGCCTGTGTCATGAATCTGGCTCCTCCCATCCACTACCTACCTCATTAAGTTTCTTCTGAATACCAGCATGTCGATCTGAAATAACACACAATTCTCTGCGTGTGATAAAATGACGTATGCATCCCATAAACCACAGTCAACTCTCTCCATTCTCTGATTCACAAATAGCGAACGCCAAAGGGAAAAGTTGATTATTAGCATCACTGCCCATTTCCACCAACAACGTACCTTTATACTTCCCATATAAGTGTGTTCCATCAATGGTCAGTAAGGGACGACAATGCTTAAAGCCTTTAATGGATTGCTTAAATGCCCAAAAAACTCTTTGAAACTGCACAAAGCCAGTGGTAATCGTACCTGAAAGACGGAGAAAATTAGTGGGACGAATTTAAAATGGAATATTATATGATACAATAAAAGATATTAATAACTCATTGGTACCTGAAAGAGGTGGGTACCAATGCACAACCGTCCCTGGATTGGAATGCTGTAATGATAACATGAAATGGGGCAAAGCAGAATACGACGCCTCCCAATCTCCAAATATTTCACTGATAGCTTTTTGCATAGCCAACCAACTTCGCTTGTACGAAGATACATACCCGTACTTTTCCTTTATAAGCTCACTAATAGTGCGGACTTTTAGTGATGGATCAGTGCGAAGAAGATCAATAATTTCACGGGCTATGAACTGAGATGTGATACCAGCATGGTCATTGTTATCGATGTTACCTAGACAAGTAGGTATATGAGGACCTGAATAACGAACAACTTTGAACATATCTAGCCCCACATGTTTCTTTGTAGCCCGGATCTGCCAAGTGCAACCACATTCTTTTTTGCGCATACACTCTGCCACCCATCTGTGTTTGTCAAACTCTACAACTGAGAAAAATTGATTCCTCTTTAGAGAGTACACTCTAACCAAGTTAATTAGTTGTTTCTTATCATCAAACTCTTGCCCAACCTCGAATTCACCATCTGCAGAGAAGCGACTGGAAGTTGTACAACCCCTGCATGATTCATCAAATCCCGCAGGGAGCTCATCAACTTTAGTGTAGTGGCTGGATGGAGCATTGTCACTTACGAGATCACCACCATCTTCATTTGAATTTGTTAGTGTGTCATGATTCACATTTTCGTCTGCATCATCATCGATGTGATGTGAATCCAGAAACGTTGCATCACTGTTCACGTATCTTCCATTCTCCCGTGCAACCATATTCATCAGAACTGGAACATTTGTGGATGAGTAAGATAATGACCGGTTTTCAGGTTGTATGGGCAACACAGTCGCTTCTTCAACATATATCTCCATGGTATGCATAGCAAGATTCGTGATCAAGGTCCACATCCCCGTAACGGCTTAATCGTCAGCAAGAGGCATTAACATGTATGATCAACCATGAATGGGATATTTAACTTTCAAATTTAACTTGTTCATACGATTGATGGATGTGGCGGTATAAAATTTATTCATTAACTCAGCCACACCTGCCCCGGCCCACCGGACACAACAATTATCTTCCGACTCCCCTCTTCATAATGAATTGCGTTCGACTCCTCGATTATATTTTCTCCCCAATAACAAACAATGAGAAAGTTTGGAGACTTATTCTATCAAAAATCATTCCAAAAAAATTATGACTCAAGCTACACGTTGAAAATTCAACTACAAGTATTTTAATTCAAACAAATTGTATTAAATCATAGATATCATTTTTATGATTACATTCATTAAAAAATCAGATAGATACATTACTCTTTCTCAAATGATCCATATATTAAACTCAATCCAACCAACACAAAAATAATTCAAATTCTACAAATTAAATAAATTCAAGCATAATAACAACATGAACAACTTATATATTTCATAACATCAAATACAAATAAAATAATCCAAAAAAAAGCAATTTCGATGTAAAATTGAAAAAAACCTAGCTTTAGGAAAAATGGTGAAATACCTCGAATAAAATGGTTGGAAGTGGATACAATTGAGCACAAATGATCTCAGGTACATGGTGTATTTTTTCCCTTTGATTTGAGCTTCTTTAGGACGTTGGCAGGCCGGAAATCGGACTGAAATCGCGCAGCAGCAGAGCTTCTTCCTTGTTCCGTCGTTCTGCGTTCGGGAAGGAGAAGACGAAATTTAATTATAAATGAGCCGCCACTTCAAGTGGCGGCTTTGGTATACGTATAGAAGAAACGCCACTCCAAGTGGCGGCTTTTGTGTAGCACGATGAAGAGCCGCCACTCCAAGTGGCGACTCTGCTTAACCATGGTTAATCCCATTAGTATTTCGTGAAATATTTTTAAACCAACAGTATTTCGGGAATAATTTATTTAATTAGCATTATTCCGAGAAAAAACTCCAATTAATTGGTCTAGTAATTAACTTACTCGGACCGTTGCTTTTACTCATTAATTTAGAGCCCGTTTGGTGATCCCTTTTTCGGCTTATCAGCCAGTTTTTTCACCAAACACGTAACTTTTGATTTCGCGCGCTGAAGTTTGTAATAAGCAGAAAAAGTAAGGTTGGAGTTACTTTTCTCGCTGTTATGAATGAAGTTATTGTAGAGTATCATTTTAGCTATTTTTCATATTTTTTTTAATTTATTAATAACAAATATTTTAAATATAATTTTTTCATGAATCAGCAGAATCAGCCAATACAGCCACTTCTGCCAGAACTTCATAAATTTCAGCCGAATCGGCCAATTCAGCCGATTTTAATGTTACGGGCTCTTAATGACTCCTTATGATGGTGCGCCTAGCAAGTAGCAGTAGTTTAGAATTTAGTGACTCCTTATTAAAGAGGACAGATGTGTCCGATGATGGAAAAAGAGAGATGTGCAGAGTAAATTGGAAGGTGCGCGGAGAAGAAGCGTATTTTATTCATCGATATGATCTTTCTTCATCGGCTAGCTCTCATCCACCGTGCAAACGAGAAGCTCCAGTTCTGCACTAAAATCCTCTGACATGATCCGGCCCGCCTTCAATGTCACGTCACCATGTTCTCAATCGGGACACTCTCCTCCTTACAGAGATGAACTCTAAAGCTTCAAATCTGCGCCACAATACACAGGGACGGATCCAGGATTTCAAGTTAAGAGGGCGAAAATTTTCGTTAGGGTAGGAGGTTAAAAAACATTCCCTAGTGTAGCGGGTGAACTTTTTTGATAGTGTAGTGGGGCGAATTTTTTTCACTAGTGTAAGACTCTGCGGCTATTTTTATTCAAAAAAAATCATTAATACATACATGATGACATTTAAATCTATATATTACATTATAAGTTATAAGTTTAGACAATAGCAAAATATTCATTTTATTTATAAATATTGATCCAGGATCCAGAAGTAACTTTAATTTTATAATTGAAGTGAACTAGAAAAAAGTATTGATACATTAAGGCGTAAAAAATGACACATCAAAGGAAAACATATCTTGAAAATAAAAAAGGATATATAACATTTTGTGTCAAGATAAAAAGTTTATAAATTCACCAATACTTTTAAAATAACTTCAACATTGTTTACCTACATGAATCCTATAGAAATAAAAAATCGGTTTTTGAATTACAATTTTTGCCTACCAAGGAGGGTGTTCATGAGTCACAAGGAGTTTTCGTAATATTACAATAGTATGCATGAGATTATTATTTTTAGAATAATATTATATTGCTAATTCATATATAGTGCATATTACATTTGTATTAATGCTAAAATAATTAAAGTTTATTATCTATGCAATAAAGTCTTTATAGAATGTAAGAAGTATATGAATTGTGTAATTTAATGTCAATAAATATTTATAATATAAAATTGTTTACTAGTTATCTAATAAAGATAATTAAACATTACTAAACTAAGAATTTTTATATAATAAATAGGTATCCTAAATCTTAAACAATGAGTTATTCTATTATTTATTTATTTACGTTAGGTAAATTATTTTAGATGTTCTTTCTTTTAAATCTCCAATTAAGTATTACATTACGTAATACTATATATAAATTTTAAAAACTAAAAGTTAATGGGGACGAATCTAATTAAAGTATGAAATTTTACGAAACTATTACATACTATATAGTAAAAAAATTGAAAGTCCAAGGGGACGATCGTCCGTGCGACCCCTTAAATCCATCCCTGACAGTACACTTCATTCCAGCAAAATCATATTTCTGAAATGACACATGAAGATATATTTTCTCTGGTTTAATGCCCAAATTTGTTCATGTATTTGGCTTCCTGACTATTATGTATGTTTCCATATTGTAATTGGTGACTTCTAACCAATTGACTCGTCCCTTTATAACATTTTAAGACGCATGGCAAGCAAATAATGACTCAGCATAGTGGCCCCACCGGCAGATTTGGAATTTGAATTCTCTTCCTCTCAGCAAAGAGACGTTTGAACTTTTAACTTTTTTGTATTGTCAAAATAAATTCATCCCTTTTTTCTCTCTAATTCGAAGTTCCCAACAATTCATTTTCTCTGCCACTTCTTAAATGCGTCTGAACTTTCTTCCACCGCTAAATCTAAACTACGAAACAATCCACTCTTTCGAAGTAAACCCATCAAACTCCAATCTTGTGCATTAATTCGGGCTATTTCCTTCTTGACTTTTCCCGGTAATATGAGTTCTCCTGTAGTGTTGATTTGAGTAATTGAGATCTTATTTTTCTGGGTATTTTTTTCAGGGGTTTCTGAGTTGTTTCAGTGAACCATTAGTTTCTTGATTGTAGTGAAGTTTTTTATTCAAAGCATTTCTTGTTCTCCTTGGCTTTCTTGCTTCTCTGTGTTGTTTGAGTATGGCCTTATCTATTTAATTATAAATAAATTCAAATGCTAACTTTGAAGTTTGAACTGGTGCTGAATTGTCGATTAGCTTAAGATCATCATATTTCCTTATTTAATTCTGAAGCATGGAATGAGATGAAAATGGATAAAGTTTCAATCTTTTATGTATAAAGTTCATTTGACTTGATTTTGTTTGGTGAATATTAGTTAACTATCATTGGATCTTAGAGCCTATTTTATTTTGTTCCAATTTTCTGTAATGACTAATTTACTCATTTCAACATGACCTATCTCAAGCTCAGAAAGGCTCACTCACATTGTAATAATTCCGCAGTCTTGTTTCTGAATACCATTTTAAATGTATAAAACAATCATAATTGATTCACTTGCAGAAAATTGTGCAATTTAAGGGAATGTTGATAAGAAGTTATTGATAACTGCACTGAGAATGGGGGGAGAGAGACATGGCTCCAAGAGGGGAGGAAGAGGTGGTGGAGGAGGCTATGTTGGTGGCTTCCTCCAGCTTTTTGACTGGAACGCAAAATCAAGAAAAAAACTGTTTTCTAACAAGTCTGATTCACCCGGTAAGTTCAACATATATCATATATGGTGATGATCATGGTGAATGTACATCTTTTACATTTCCCTTTGATCCTATTAATCTTGACCTATTGCTGAAGGCTTGATAAATAATTTTCTCCTGTGATTCCTGTAGAGCATTCCAAAATGAAAAAGAGGTGTGATGGGAATTTGCCAATGACTCGATTTCATCTGGTCAGTGTGAACTTAAGCTTACATTTTCCTTTTCATTTTAAATTCTTGAACTTTAAGAATGTGTTTACGATAGCTTATATTTAAAGAATAAGTGTTTTTATAGGTAGATAATTGGTTTTGCGTCAAGGAAAAGCCTTTAGCATGAAAATGGAAACAAAACAATGGTTTCAACCGCACACAAATATAATACTCTTATTTCTTATTTTAAGTAACCGGTAGATTGGTACCTTTTTAAAAAGAGCCTGAAGCACTCACGCCATAAGTAATCCCAAACAAGAACTAATGCCATCCTCGTCCAAGGAAAGTCCACCAAAGTTTTAATACCCAAAAAAGTATTGAAAACAAAAATAATGATAAATACGTGACTAAAATAAAAATAGTTGACAAAAGTACCATTTTAATATGCAGTAACGTAGGTCCAATGGCATTTTGATACAGTCTCCACTACCCCACTCTTTAAACTTACTATTCAGTATCAATAATGGTAGCATTAGTTACTAATGCTAATAACTTTAAATACAGTAGCATAATAAATATGGTTCCTATGAAGATACCATTATTGATACTGAAGAGTAAGTTTAAAGAGTCCCTCTTCAGTATCAATAATGGAATCATCATAGTAACCATATTTATTATGCTACTGTGTTTTGTCAATGAGTTATATGTTAATAGCATTATAAGAAAAAACTTAAAACACAACTTCTTTTATTTACACATTGTTTTTACAACCGAACTGCTAATTTGCCACAGATTGACGAGGAGATGAACGATAACATGACCTATACAGAAAGCCGTTGCTACAGCTATGCATCATCAATGGCAGATGATGAAGAACTTAGTGTAAAGCCTCCGGGGGTCGTGGCAAGACTTATGGGTTTGGACCCATTGCCTCCATCTTCCAACTATTCACAGTTTTACTCCAACTCTCCATTTTCTGAGCCAAATTGGCACTCAAGGCACCATAAGGCGATTGCCACACCAATTGAGAAGTTCCAAACTGAGACTTTGCCTCCCAAATCTGCCAAATCAATACCCATCACTCACCACAAGCTTTTGTCTCCGATCAAGAGCGGGACTTCCTTCCCACCCAAGAATGCTGCTTATATCATGGAAGCAGCAGCTAGAATTATTGATCCTCCCAGAGCAAACGTCAGAACCAAACCGAAAATGCCATCTATGGGTAGTTATTCAGCGATCGCGCTAAGGGTTAAAGATATGAATGAGAAAGTTGAATTATCATCTAGTAGAAGGCTTTCAAGTGGAACTAACACAGCAAACCATATCAAGACACATTCTGTGAATAATAAAAGTGCATCAAAGGAAAGGGTTGTTCCTTCAGAATCAGAAGAATGTTTTGGTGGATTAAAATCTAAAGGAAAGTCTGTATCTTTAGCACTTCAAGCAAAGGAAAATGTGTTAAAAAGGGAGGGATTGGGTAATCTTAGTGGCAGTAGCCAGAAAGAACTAAGTGATCTAAATTCAAGGCAAATTATGCACAGAAATAACATTCAAAAGAAACCATCGGCAGTTAGCGCTCTCAGGCAGAATAATCAAAAGCAGAATAGCTGTTATGGCGGAGGAAAGACATCTTCCAAGCCACAAGGAAAGAGAACACTCAGCGGGGATTCCACTCTTTCTCATCAGCAGAAAAGCTCAACTAAAAGTGCAGAAAGTTCAAGAATTAGCTCAAGGAGGCTGAGTTTGGAAAAAAGCCATGAAAAAAAGGAAGAAGTGTCTTCCAGTAACAATAATGTAACACGCAAGAAGCAGCGGTCCATAGATGGCGATTTCCCATATGAGAAAAATCAGCTTACTTCGGGTAATCAATCATCAAATCGTAAGAGTGGAAAAGTCTTTCAATCTGGTGGACTGATGGATAGGGAAGGGACAAACATAGTTTCTTTTACATTCAGTGCTCCCTTATCACGTTCTACGCCAATCACTGAGACCTCTAGAATAGAGAAAAAAAGCTTTGCTGATTGTAGTGCAGATTATAAAGTTAAAAAGGATTACCACTCCCAAGGTAGTGATTTAAGCACACTTTTGGAGCAAAAGCTTAGAGAACTTACTGAGAAAGTGGAACCTAATTCTTGCCAAAGAACTAGAAGAACTGCTACTTCTTTATCAACAGACATTTTGCATGATGATGCAATGGATATAGATGTACCACCAGTAAGCCAACATCACTTTGTCTTTTCTTCTACTGACTCTCAGGAAATCACTATGAAACACAAACATCAGGTAATGTTTTTTTATTGTTTGTAGTTATCTCTTATAACTCTCCATTATAATATTGATCATTAATTCACTTGGTTTTATTTGATTATTTTAGGTAGTTGAAGGAATGGACCATAATATGAAAAACATGTACGATCGCCGATTCCCAAGCCCTGTATCTGTGTTTGAGAATAGATATATAACCGAAAGCTGCAATTATTCAGATACTGACAGTAATACTACACCAAGTAAGATGATACTATTACTATCCATACTATTAATGTTCCTTGCAAGTGAAAGGATGATTTTAGTTTTTGCCCAAACATCCAATCTTTTTTCCATGCAATGAATGAATAAATGAATGCATGCCAGGTAGTAAGCAAAGTTCATCAATCCAAGCCCAAGAAATCATTGGCATAGCCTCATTGAAGAGGTTCCATTACAGGGAAGCTGATTTAGACCTGCTGGATTCAGCTTCTTCAAAAACTTCAGGTTTCTCAGATGATAGAAAAAAGCCCTTATGGAAATCACCACCACCAGAATGGGAGCTAGAGTATGTGAAAGAGATTCTTAGTAATACAAATCTTGACCAGATGATGATGATGTTCAAAGATTTTTCAATAAAGCCTCACCTGTTTGAGGTGCTGGAAAGCAGAAAGGTGGTCTGTGGCTATGGAAATGAGCTGAGACTAGAAAGAAAGATTTTGTTCGATTGCGTGAGCCAATGTGTAGAGTCAATGTACAGGAAGTATGGAGGATGTGGGTATGAAATGTGGATAAAGGGTATGTCAGTGATTCGGCGAAAGGATCATCTTGTAGAAGAAATGTATAGGGAGATATTGGGGTGGAGTGAAATGAGAAGCTCAATGGTTGATGAGCTTGTGGACAAGGATATGAGCACTGGTTTTGGCAAATGGCTTGACTTTGAAATTGAAGCTTTTGAATTTGGATCACAGCTTGAAAATGCCTTGCTCAATTCATTACTTGATGAAGTTGTTAGTGACTTATTGGGGAATTAGAGACTGATGCATTTTGTGGAGGATTTTGATCCAAGTTTGCGCGGGTCTTTCTTGTTTATCTTATGAGAAAGAATTTGTTCATGTGCTATTCTTTCTACATTCTTTTTGAAACCAGCTATATACATAATCGTTCATTAATTTTGTTCTATTTAAAGATCGCCCCTTCTCCGTGCACCCTTTTGTTTTGGCTTAAAAAGGATGCAACTTTAAGATAATCTTCAAATCCATCGACATTGTAAAATTCTTGATTTTTTGAGTGTTTTATAGTTTTTATTATTCATGTATATGTCACAAATGAAAATATTTATAATCATTGTTTAATAATAATTCAGGTTTGTAGTTGTAATTATTTTATGTATCTTGCCAAAAGGATATATGTTTTTTTATATTGATGAAAATACATCATTTATTTGGTCAGATTAGAAAAAGAATTATAATACTAAATTCTCCACCATTAAATACAAAAACAAACAGGAATGGTTTGAGCAATAGTTGCCCTATTGCTCAAAACAGTAAGGAAAGAAACAAACAAATAAGAAAACACGTCTAACGAAAAGGGCATGATTGTCCAAATCATTTGAAATTTGGTCATAACACATTTTGATTGCACCCTCGGCATAGTTAGGGATGGACTCGGGCCGGGTCAACTGGCCCATAATCGGCCTGACCCGGTACTGTTTCGGCTCGGCCCGACTCAGTACCCGGGTCCGTGCCCGGTTCGGGCCACCCGGCCCGGTACTGAAACTGTTAGTCCCGATCGATCACAACGGTTAGTTTGATGAATTCTTTTCCCATTTCTCTATTGGTTGACAACTCAGCGACTCTTTTAAAACTCTTCACTTTAAAAAATAATCTCGAAAAACCGAGATTGAATCGTCGGGTTATCATCATCATCATCCTCATCATTATTTTTATTATTATTGTTATGATTATTTTTATTATTGTTGTTGTTATTGTTGTTATTATTGTTATTAATTATTATTGTTATTATTATTGTTGTTGTTGTTGTTGTTATTATTACTATTATTACTATTATTACTACTATTATTATTTGTTATTATTATTATTACTATTACTACTATTAGTACTGATGGAGTTTAATCCAACTATTAGAGCTAAATCTACTAATGATGTTGATATATGGCAACGTAAGGCAGTATTGTTATTATTCGAGAGAATGATTGACCGATCCCTTTCTGGGAGAATTACAGAAAGTATTTATAGACTACAAGAACTAATATTATAGGAAGAAACTACTACATTTAATGCTATTAATTACGGAACATATATTAGTTTGAAGACATATTTCAATGTAAGTCCAACGAAGGACCCAACACGTCAAAACGAACATTTGACGTAGCTATGGAAAATACTAGCGAGGGGTCCGGAGAAGAACCCGAACCCAGACGTAGCAAAATGTGCCAGAGTTGAAAATCCTTCGGACCGGATTTTCTCACATACTTGGTAGAATTTGACTCGGATATTCTAACATGTATGGTAGAAAATGAACCGGATGTTCTAACATGTTTGGTAGAAAATGAGCCAGAGACTTATACGGAAGCCGTGACGTCTACTGAAGGTACCTATGTGGAAAGAAGCCATCAAAAGCGAGGTGGATTCTATCCTACAAAATCACACATGGGAATTGGTTGATCTTCCTTCGGAAAATAAATCTTTGGGATCCAAGTGGATTTTTAAACGAAAAATGAAACCTGATGGTTCCATCGATAAGTACAAGGCCAGACTTGTAATCAAAGGATACAAGCAACGTGAGGGGCATGATTACTTTGACACGTATTCTCCTGTGACGAGAATAAATTCCATTAGGATGATACTAGCAATTGCCGCATTGCGGAAATTGGAAGTTCATCAAATGGATGTAAAAACCGCTTTTCTAAATGGCGATATAGACGAAGAAATCTATATGGAATAGCCCGAGGGTTTTCGTGTTTCTGGCCAAGAAAGGAAAGTGTGTAAATTAATTAAATCATTGTATGGATTGAAACAAGCCCCTAAACAGTGGCACGAAAAGTTCGACCATGCAATGTTAATTAATGGGTTTAAAATAAACGAAAGTGACAAATGCGTCTATGTGAAGAGCACGGTAGACGGCTATGTCATTTTATGTTTATACGTGGATGATATGCTCATCGTGGGTAGCAATAATCTAATGATTAATTCTACCAAAAGTATGTTAAATTCTAAATTTGACATGAAGGATATGGGGCTGACCGATTTAATCCTTGGGATTAAAATAATTAGGGGGCCGGACGGTCTAACGCTAAGCCAATCCCATTACGTTGATAAAATCCTTACAAAATTTAATAAGGATGATTATCAAGAGGCAAGGACTCCATTAGATAAAAACGTACACCTTACCAAAAATCGTGGAGAGTGTATTTCTCAAGTAGAATACGCTAGGATTATTGGAAGCTTGATATATCTAATGAGTTGTACCAGGCCTGATATTGCCTTTGTGGTTAGTAAGCTAAGTAGATATACTAGTAACCCCCGGTGACGAACACTGGAAAGCAATAGTAAGGGTTTGAGGTATTTACGAAAAACTCAAAACTTTGGACTGCACTATGGAAGATATCCAGCTGTACTCGAAGGGTATAGCGACGCTAGTTGGATATCTGACATTAAGGACTTAAAGTCCACGAGTGGATATGTTTTCACTTTGGGAGGTGCAACCATGTCATGGAAATACTCGAAACAAACGATAATAGCTAGATCCACGATGGAATCTGAGCTAATAGCCTTGGTTAAGTGCACTGAAGAAACTGAATGGCTACGTCATTTTCTCGAGGATATTCCAAGTTGGGAAAAGCCTCCAATATGCATACATTGCGATTGTCAAGCGGCAATGGGAAGGGTACAGAGCAATATGTACAATGGTAAGTCTAGACACGTTCGTCGTAGACATAACACCATTAAACAACTCCTCACAACGGGTGTTTTCACTGTTGACTACGTAAAGTCAAAGGATAACATAGAGGATCCGCTAATCAAGGCATTGGTCAGAGAATTGTTGGAGAAGTTGTCACGAGGAATGGGGCTAAAGCCCGTGAATTGAAAAGTTCTATAGTGGATATCCAACCTAGTTGGTCCTAGGTTCAAAAGAGACAACTAAATTATAGAGCCCGGACTCCTACCCACTCCTCGTTGAAACAATGACTAACGCACGAGGTTAGCAAAAACGTTTGTTTTAATGATTCTGAAATGTTGATCTACTCAATAACATTGGAAGAGTATGTGGGATACTCGTGAAAGAATCACCTATGTGAGAGAGAAGAGGGCCGCTTCAAAGGAGAATTGTATAGGCTAAAATCTTTAGAAACTCTTGCTGAACCAGGACGGTGACCCATGGCCAAAACGGGCACACTCATGAGAACGCAACAAAGTTGGAAGGTTTCTGTGTAAAGATAGTTCAATGTTTACACGACGACAATATAGTTCAAGGACATCGAGTATACTAGACGGCCAGTAAATAAACATGTTTTTACAGCGGAAGGTTCAAAGGATAAAACTTACCTCTCTGTATGCAGGGATCATCCGGTGAACACAACGTGTCCTCCTATCTTCATGTCTTTTTTAAGTCTTTGATGGATAATCGATACCCATATTGTATGAAAAGGAGAGATTGAACTTAGTAAATGGGGAAGAAGGATGAATAGTAGAAATGATATGAGTTGTATGAGTCCTCTTACAAGCCTTACATAAGGGAGTATATATAGGGAAATCCGGGTTTGAGCTTCTAATATCGGCCCGGTAGACCCGGTTACATAAATGGACTGATAGTATGAAAAGCTAATCTAGAACATCTGAATAATAATGGAAAAGGAGCAAAACCCCCCCTCAAGTTGTCACCAAAGAGCAGCATCTATGCCATTAAACTCTTTTTGAGTGCAAAAATCTTAAAAATCTCTCATTGGAGGGAAATTGCACCCTTAAGTGAGTTAAGTCACAGTACGTGAACTTAACGGAACTAGTGTCTCTCAAACTTGCTCCTTTGAGTTAATTTTATTTATTTATTTATTAGCTAATTTTTTAAATTAGTTGAAATACATGAAATATAAATAAAACTATTAGTAAAGAATTACTCCATATTAGTATTAGAGCCCATTTGATATGGTAAAATAAAAATAGGATCCTTTAAAACACTTTATATTTTGATATATAAATATGCTACCAAACCCATTTGTTAGCATATGGTTTGGCTTATCAGTCAATCTTTTTGTCAAACTATTTTAAACCAACTAACTTAGATAAATTGTTTAATAGTTAAAGTAAGTGAGATTGAAATTATTTTTCGGATTAAATTGAATCAAATTGTTTAAAGCCAACTATTTTAGCATTTTCATCCGACTTTTTCTTTATAATACTACATCCCCCTCCTAAAATTGAGATAAGAGGGAGTAGTGTGTTTATTAAGAAAATTGTGATTGTGTGACTATTATTGAATTGATAAAATATGAATAAAAAAAGAAATAATTATAATATTCACAAATATGATATGCGACAAATTTAATGGGATGAATGAAAAATGTAAAATGGGACAAAGATAGGGACCTAGAAAATGTTAATAAAAATATAGTCTAAATTATATTTCTATGTAATTCAATATATTCAATTAATTGAGTCACTTAGAGTTTGATAAATTTCCATACATTTAACCGATTAAATCAATTTTAGTGTTATCAAACGAGCTCTAATCATAATGCAAAGCAATTCGTTCTTAATTGCTAATATCTTTTTTTACGGAGCAATAACTTTTTTTCAAATTACTAATAACTTTTTTGTATAGTTATTATTTCGTATCAGAAAAATTCAGATCAGATCGGATAAGAAAATTTCAGATCAAATCGGATCAGAAAAATTCAAATCAGACCGGATCAGAAAAATTCAGATCAGATCTGTTTTTAAAAAATTCAGATCATAGATCAAAAGAACAAATCTTAATGGCTTTTATGGTTTAGTCGTACTTTTAGATCGCGTTTGGTAGCACAAAATCGGCTGATTTGGTTGATTCTGCTGAAATTTATGAAGTTCTGGCTGAAGTGGCTGCATTGGCTGATTCTGATGATTTAAGAAAAAATAATTTTAAAATATATTTTATTAATAAAATAAAGAAAAAATTATATTTAAAAATAGCTAAAATGGTCATCTACAGTAACTTCAGCCAACACAGCTAAAAAAGTAACTATAACCTTACTTTTTCAGCTTATTACACAATTCAGCGCGCGAAAGTAAAAGTTACGTGTTTGGTGAAAAAGTTGACCGATAAGCTTGATAAGTTGAAA